TTGTTGTTGTTGTTTGTTGTTGTTGTTTGTTGTTGTTGTGTGTGTGTGTGTGTGTGTGTGTGTGTGTGTGTGTGTGTGTGTGTGTGTATATATATATATATATATATATATACACACACACACGTAAGCATGGTAAAATATGAAACGAGATGTTCATATATTGACCACCTAAGTTTATTGGACCAGATACAACTTCATACAGAGCTATATCATAAATATTTTCTCACTTTTATATAGTACTTTAGACAATTATTGTTGCAATTACTGTACTGTGTAAACAAGCCAATAAATCCTACTTAATTATGTTTTCAAAGCTGGGATTCAAATAAACTCTTAGAAAATATCCACTTATCGACCAACATTAAAATACCTAACAAGTTTAGTGGATCAGCCCAGACTTTCTACAAAGCCATAGCATAAGCATTTCTTAGTATTTTAAACCATTCCTGTTGTAACCATTATACTGTCAATAAGATGATAAATCCTACTCCAGTGTCTTTTCAAAGCACGGAAAGTTTTGGGAATGGTGCCACAAAAGCGTATTTGATATTGACAATGTCAAAGTAAAATGACACCTAAACAGGAATGGTGATTCATTGCTTTATATTCGGCAAGTTTCTACTTCAATCACTAACAGTAGAATAAACAGAGGAAATAGGAGATTTACTTTGGCAATTTGTTGTCTGTATCAAAAAGGATAAAGTACTGTTCATTTTGTTTATTCTAGTTTCTAAGCCATATGCTAGCAATAAAATAACTACAGAAAATAAGTATGAAAAGGAGAGAAGTGTAAACTCTGACCCTAAGTACTTTGAAATTTAGTGATCAATACTAACAATACTGTACATTTTATTTTGCATTTGTAACCATTATTTTCATTATACTTTGATTACCTTACCTACAACCTGGAAAATCAAGTATAATGTTATAGTAAAGAAAATAACAAATAAGATATAAAGCTTTACTGAACATAAAAATGTTTGATATTTACTTACAAATTTGTTTTTCTTTTTTTTTAATTGTTTTCACTAATTGTTATGAAAGTAACTAAAATGTAAAAAAAGAAACTTATTAGGTAAGATATTGAAAGAAAAATAATAAAAATCTTCCTGGGGTATACGTGCCAGCAGCTTGTGCATTACACTATTTGATACAGGTAACATGAGCTGTACATGCACAGTATAATTTTCAACTAGTGTCAGAGTATTTTTAGTCAGCCATGGTTCAAAGTGCAATAAAACAAAAATTAATAAATATAAATAGATGTATACTGTTATGAGATTTAAGCTATTTAGAGTAAAAATTTGTGGTTTCCTGTTATAATTTGCAATTATTCTAAAACAAGATTCTTTTTTTTATAATGGTTACAAGGTCAGTCAAATCAACCAACACCACATAGAGCTAGCATTGATAAGATAACAGATTAAATACAAAGTTTTATTCACAAAAAAAAAAAAACATCATTTGATGATTACCTAGAAGTATACATAGATTATGCAAATGAAACTTGCTAATTTTCAGATAAAAAAAGTATTTTTAATCTTAAAATTAAAATTCACAAGCAAATCTTTAATAAAAAAAAATCTTAATACTTAATTTAAAAATCTGATATTTTGTGTATGAAAGCTTGTAATGTTTACTAATAATCTGCAAAAATGTTTAAAGATAAGCATACATTATAAAAATTATAGTATAATTACTCTCATGCATATTTTCATGGTTATAAGCTGGGTGGACTTTTTTATATGCATTGCACACTGTATTGTATAAATGCATTCATTTTGTGTTAAAATATTTTTGTTCATTCAGGCTTTACATATCACATTTTCAGTGTACCTAAACATTTTAAATGTGTAAAAAAAGTCATATTAGAATAACAATGCACAAAAAAATTAGTAAAAACTTATGTACACCCACTATTTTAATTTACAAAATGATAAAAATCATATAATTTGAGCGCTTTTGAAAGCCCTTGGGTTATGGGGTTTTTATCACTTTGTATTAAGACTTATTGAATCTACGTGTTTTTCTGACATCATGAATTTTATTTTACATTCATTCTCAACAAGTGTAAATTTTTGCATATAGAAAATACCTTAACTGATTGGATTCAAACATTTTCAATTTTCTTTGCCCACTTGCTCCCAATCAGCTCAACAGTAAGCTTGAGGACTAATGTTAAAATCTGTGGTTTAATGTCTGCATTGAGTACAGCACAGATAGCAAATTATGTAACTATGTTTAAATGAAACAAATGAGTACTATAAAATCATATGTGTACTTCATGGTTTCTACAATATTTGCTTTATGCATTCATTTTTGTGTTAACATATGTTAAATAACCAGTATCATAATTCTTTTCAATAAAATCTGTTCTACTTAATATATGTTTACTCTACACTTTTACTTAAATTGAGTGTATGACTATCTCAATCACCACCAAGCTTTACTTTCCCTATATTTTTTCTAAAAAGTAGTACTTGCACTCAAAACAAACTTATTGCCAATAACAACTGATAAAAGTACAAGAAAGTATTAATAAGGTCATGGTAAATTGAGAAGAAACTGAAAAAACTTGTGATTCAGGCTCTAGTGAAAATGGGGTCTCAACATGCAATTCCCTCTACTTAGATTTAAGACAAAATATTATTTGAAAATAAGCTACAAGATGCTATTTGAGAGACAAGGGGCATAATCAGGAAGGTTTTTACTCTTGGACATCTTATCTTGAAAATTATGATGACATCTTGAGACACTTTGGTGATCCTTCTTCAGATTGTTGAGGTAGGTTATGGACAATTTTGTGAAGTTCTGATGTATTCCTGGTCTGAGGGCTCTTGTGTAATTTATTTCCCTATTGCATGAGAATTCTGCCTTCTCTTTTTTTTTTTTTATCATGGAACAAAACTAGGATATATATATATACTGTATTACTTCCACAAACTGGAAGTAATACAGAGTGACTGAAAGAGAGAAGAACTGGAAAACATAGAAAAAAAGCACTACATAACAAAACATGAATCAAAACTTCATAGAGACAAAGGAACAGAAATAAATAACTTGTGGATTAAAATAATGAAAGCAGGATCCCCCATCCAATAGGAAAATAGGTCACACAATAGTCCTCATTCCAAAACACATTGGAACTTCAAATGCTGCCCATAACCTACTTCACCAACCTGAAGAAAAATATCATAATATAACAAGGCAAAATTTCCAATAGCAAAAACTTTCCAAAAGCAACCAGATGGGTTGTGTGAGTACACATCAAGCTCTTTGACCTATAAAATTTTACACTTTTCTGTAGAATGATTAAAACCATAGTTATAGACTACTCCTTAGTCTGAAAATGAGAAAGAAATACAAATATGTGTTTAAAAACACAATGCAAAGTTAAATTAATTTCATTTGCTTAGAATATTATATCAAAGCAGAAAAAAATATATTTGCTATCCATAGAAAGTTAATAAGAGCTTTTTTTTATTGATTTAATTTTTAATGTTGTGAGGGAAGATATATAGACACACACACATCACATTCCACATCTCTGGAAACCCTTGGGTTTAGACACAGAATATTCTGTGGCAAAGAACTGTAAAATTCATCAAAATTATAAATATTCTGTTCTATACTGGATGTCCCCAAGTGGCTCAGTGGTAAGTCTGAAAGCTTATAAATGCTAAAAGATGGATTTCAAAAGCTGTGATGGGCACAGTACAAATTGCCAACTGTGTAGCTTTGCACTTGACTACAACAAACTGTAGGTAACAGTTACACTACATCACTAAGTTATTCATTGTTAATATAATTCAGTAGTCAGTTATTGAATCTGAAAACAAGCTTACTATTGCTGCCATTTTGTAGGGTTCCAAATCCTCAAAATAGTGTGGATTTGGTATTTTACGAGGCTCCCACTTGCCCTGAGAAAAAAGATTTTTAAAAAGAAATTAATGAGCATGATCTAACTAAAACGTATAACACTAAAATCATTATCCTTACTGCTATTTAGTTAATACAAAGATGTGGCTACAATATCACAACCTCCTAATACAGGCAATATTATTTATGTACAAATTTACTTTTGACTCATAAGCCTAAAACTGAAATTTCCAGTGCCACATTTTTAAAACTGAATAGCAAGTATTACCATCTTTGTAACTATCCTAGGGTATTCTTAAAAATATAAATAGCTCCAATTAACACTTTCTGGACTGCTGTGATTTTGTCGCTTTCCTATAATTTTTTACTTCTCACCAGGGAAATACTTAACCAAATGGTCTATTAATTAAAAGGTGCTCAATTAACAATCTCCAAATGATGGGATTGAAACCTGAAACAAAATATGCTTGCCCTTTCAGCACTTGAGGCATTCTAATGTGAGAGTCAATTCCACTTTTTGTTGTTAAAAAAGAAGTCCAAAAGGTGGTAGTGGATGGTGTTGACTAGCTACTATCCTTAATTTTGAACAACTTACCAAAAGGAAGACAGTCAGCAACACCCTACCACCCATTATTCATACTAAGGTATTGACTGTCACTTTTATAAAGTGTGGAAAATATTTTGTGGTACCACGCAGCCTTAAGCCCTGTTCACCAGCTCCAATCAGATTCAACTTGATTTATGTTCATTAACATATTTGTTTTGAAACTTTATTATGCCAATTGCAGCAATCATCACTTCCAGCTATAAATTACATAAAAACGGTGAAAAACAGATTTATAGGTGGCTTACAACCTGATCTTTCATAATGCCATCACCATTAGCTATGTCAGGCTAGATAACAATATTTTTGTTAACAATATTCATGGTCAAGATTAATTTATATCTAACAAATAGTCTCTTCTCAATAAATGATGTTAGTACATATACTTACAATATTTAAATACAATAATATTCAATAAATAAAGATTTGAGTCAAAGTATTTTGCAATCACCTACCATACATGTTAAATTTAACTAGGCTTACCTGATATCTTGTTATAGAAAAAAAACATTTTAACCCTATGACCCTTGGTGCCATTTTTAGAATTCCTTTCTGCATATGTATTGCATTACATTCAAAATTTACTTAACCCACTTCCAATATATATATATACTAATTTATGTTATAATTTAAATTTTTACATTATCTAATTATAATTCCTTTACTTCAAAGAAAACCTTTAAAAAAAATACTTAAGCTTCAGTTTTCATGTCACGTGACCCATGTGCTATTGAAACTCTCAACTTCACCAGAGGTTCAGCATTTGCCACATATGTTGAAAGTGTACATACACTTAAACTACATGTGTCTGACCTACTTGCCATGTGATACCAAAGTTTACAAAATGCTTTGTCTGGGAAACAGTTATAAATTTTCCAACCCTTAACGGATGCCACCTACCTTCTATACTTTGCCTTGAGATATAGCTTCTACATGTAGTTTGTAGAAACCAGTGTATATACTTGTTGGAAAGAGATCAGTTTATACTTTTTGGCACTAATAGTTAACTTGAAATTGGCACATGGTTTTTCTCACAGTATACATGTAACTGCTGTTAGTATTCTTGTCTGCTTGATCAACTGAAGCATTTACAGTGGTTTCTTACCTAAATATTCTATAGTTAGAGAGACTGTTAAATTATATCTAGGTCTTACAATGACATTTTAATTAATTATGTATTATTTGTGTTATAAAAATAATATTTGAAAAGTTTAATGGTTTTTTTTTTATAATCAAGATGGCATCATTCGTGTGCAAAACAAGAATGGGGTAACAAGTATCTGAGTGGGTATCAGTGTATAATAATAATAAAGCCCTGAGGGGACCAGTTTACATATCCAGAATAAATGATAAAAAGACAAAGAAATGGAAAGGAACATCAAAAATAAACTACAATTGAAAAGATAAAGATGTGAAATCACACACATTAAAAAACAAGTTTCAAAGGACTTTTACGCAGAGCTAAAAGGTATGTACATATTTCCATTTCTTAATTTTAAACATTTCATTGCAGTGTATGTTGATGATAACAGGTAGAGTTAATGATATAGTAGAGAACATGAAAAATAAAATATAAACATTTACCTTAAAAAACTATTGATATTCATTTAGAAGGTTCTAGAGATTATGAAAATTAAATGTGAAAAAAACTGTAAGATAATAAATAGTAGTTTTATACTTCATATAAAAATCACCTTGAATGTGAACTATTCGGAGTCCGAGTGCAAATAACTACATTAAATACAGAATTTTTTATTATTAGAAATAGCAGAAAAAATAAAAATAAAATATTTCATTTTTCTGAAAATACAAACTTTTTTGGAAAGTTCTTGTCAAATTTTAAACAATTTCAGTAACAAATTATATTTTTGTAACAAAATAAGACAAAAGGAATATTACCTTCTTTTGGATGGAGAAGCCAGGAATAATAAAGTCAGGGAACAAAATGAACATCTAGATTAGCTATAATGAAATTCCCAGATTAAGGATATAGTAATATCTATAATGAAGTTCCCAAATGTGTGTTGTTTTTTTTTCCAGCTTCACATTATGTTCATCTCTCTAATAGCTCCACCTTGTCATTTTCCCCACAAAACAATTAAAAACTGATCATACTTTAATCACTCTACATTGTTGTAAATAGCTTACAGCTTGTTCTATCAAAGAGTATTCAAATTTTGCATGTAGCTATTTTCTAAGCTGTGCTTCATTACCAATTGTCCAGACCATTTGTTGTGACATCATAAAAGGGAGGAAAACAAAAGGCTGTAATAATAAAACCTCACATGGAAAAGGAAAATCATGAGAGAAATAAGACATAGCTACTTATTCACAAATATAAACTTATGCTTTGGGATGGTCAGAAAATTCTAAAAAAAAATCTATAAATAAGTTGTTTACAGGCGAGGCTTCTAGAAGCTAGACACAGAAATGTAAATTTAACATTTTTTTTCCATTTTCTTTCTAAATCACATCAAAAAACTGTTACAAAATGATAAAATATCACTTTTAACATATATTTGAGTTTGAAATTGTTGAAAAAATTATCTATTATTATATTTACTTAAATATCTAAATTTGATATGCAGGTGTGCATATGACACCTGAAAGGTTGTGATTGAGTTTAAATAGCATGTGAAACAATCATATGTGATACATTTAAAGAGCCATCAACAAACCTTACACATCTAAAACACAGCCTCAAAATAGGTTACAATAATATTGGTATAAGCATCATTACCTACAAAAAATAATACCTTATAATTTGGATTATTAATCATGGGATGCTTCCATTTCCCTTTATACTCAGGGTTATCAATCATTGGAGGCTTCCACTCTCCACAACCTACAGTGCATTTAGGATTACCTAAAACAATACATTGAAAATGTATAAAAAATCACACACACAAACACACTAAAAACAAGTAATAAAACACTGAAAATGTTCTTATAATATTTTAATGCTATCTAAAGCTACAGTTTTATTTAACTAGAAGAAAAATTAAAGAAAGAAATACTTTTAATATCTTCCTTTCTTCAAATAGAGTAAACAGTCACAACCTTCTACCTCTTTCATTCACAAATGGCATTGACTTCTAGCTTGGTATTGTTGCATCAGCGAGGTCACGTGACTATTGTCACGCCAACTATTTTCTAGAAGTATCTTGTTCCTTCGTGAATGCCCTAGCATTTCTAGATATATGTTTTCTGGTATATAATAAGACGCTC